TGAGTATGCTACATTTTGAAGCCCATTAAATTTTAGTATAATAAAATCCAAGTTGCATGAAGCTTGGCCTTACCGTTGATTTTTGGCAATTTTTTGATCGCGCATTTTCTTCCATACACAGTATGTTCAACAATTTTTTTTTTGTATGGAGAAAACAGGCAACACTTTCCACAAAATTTACCATACATCAACGGTAAGTCCTAGTTACTTGAATGGATTGGTTATTAAACAGCATACTCAGAATGTTTCTAAGAAATCTAATAAAAAATCACAACCACGTTAAATTATAATCACCATTTTTATTCAACACCACCAAAGTGAATATTTCTCTTCACTAATTCACAAATGTATTTTTACTTTTTTGGGTGTGCATGCCTCGACCCACCGCACTCTGAAACTAAATCTTGACACTTCAAACACTAGTTATTTAAGGAAAAAATTGTGTGATACATTTTTTACATTTTCTGTTGTAGGCACAGCGGCGCGGGAGGGGTGATGTGATTTGTTCAATTAGAACCAGAATCTCACAATCTAGAACCTACTTTCTCTATTGGCGCTGTAACCGCCTATTTCTCTTCTCTGCCAACTAAACGCCAATTGGAAATGCCAAGTGAAGCCAATTCCATCTTCAGGGAATCCGTAGGCTTTTTGATAAACTGTAAGATTAGTATTTTATTGGTGTTGTTGTATCCTATATTTCAGTCACAGCTATTTGAAGAGATAACCGAAAAATAGTGGAGATTAGATTTTAGTTCATGCATAATTACATGCGTACATAAATACGTATGTATGTACATATGTGAATGCTTAGTCATAAGCTAGTTACAGAAAGTTATCTACTGTGATGTCGTTTGTAGTCTATGATAGGGTAATATTAACTTTTGATAGGCGTTCCTATTTTTCAAATAACAAAATAGATAAATACTCATTATTTCTAAGGGCGTTAACCCCCTATTTTTATATTTTTAGTGATAGAGTATTCTATGCTAACTAAATGATACAAACTCGTTTGTATGCGATTGATAGATGATACATTATATAAATTATTGATGGAAAACCTTTTTGCAGAAATGTTTTGTACCTAAATTCAGTGAAGTGTACCGAAAGCGACTAAAAAGTGTGAATTGTGGCCACTTGTCCATATCAGGCAATCATACATACATGCCAACACACAGTGGTCAGGGCGGCCATGTTTAACTCGGAAAACAGTTACGCTAAGTATTGTTACGATTTTAATAAAGCTGTAGTATTAGTTGCGTTCCCCAACTTTTCTGGATTAAAACCTGTAAAACTGTCAAAAGGCAAAAGAAGCCAGAGAACCGAGTACGGGAACGCTTTTTGGCAAATTCCTGTAAATTCTTGCAACTTCTTACGAGCTCAATCAAGTTAGCGGCGCGAAAATGAAAAAATGAAGAAAAAAATTGTTCGTATTATTGTGCTCATTGTGTGCTATTTTCGGCCACTTTTCGTTTTTTTTGTGCTCCGACCATTTGGTAAATAATTAGGACTTTGCTAAGTTAACCGTAACTTAGCAAAACATTCATTCAATGAAGTATTTTTACTACTTTTCTGGGCTTATTTTTTTGTGCTTTTTATGGGCTTTAAAAATATTGCCCGGTTAACACTGAAAAACCGTTTGACGCCACGCTAGCTAACCCACTTCTTAAACTTTGGTCGAACACGGATAAATAGTATTGAGGAATTACGTGCTATTTTTGGGCTTTTTAGAGTCACCTAAATAATTATAGGAGCTCATCCAGTTTCCGAGATAATTAAGACTTTGCTGGGTTGACTGTAACTTAGCAAAACATCCATCCAGTGAAGACTTTTTACTGCTCATCTGGAATTATTATTTTGTGCTTTTTATGTGCTTTGCAGATTTTGCCCGTTAAACATTGAAAAATCGCTAAAAAAATATTGCACCGTAAACATTGAAAAATGCACTTCTTAAACTTTGGTCGAACACGGACAAATATTATTGAGGAATTACGTGCTATTTTTGGGCTTTTTAGAGTCACCAAAATAATTATAGGAGCTCATCCAGTTTCCGAGATAATTAAGACTTTGCTGGGTTGACTGTAACTTAGCAAAACATCCATCCAGTGAACACTTTTTACTGCTTAATTGGGTTTATTATTTTGTGCTTTTTATGTGCTTTGCAAATATTGTTAAACATTGAAAAATCGCTAAAAATATTGCCCAGTAAACATTGAAAAAATCGCTTGACGTCACGGTAGCCGACCAACTTTATAAATTTTGGTCGAACACAGATATATATTGCTGAGGAATTAGGTGATATTTAGGGGCTTTTTAGGGCCGTCAAAATTATTTAAGGTGCTCAGTCAGTTTCCAGGATAATTAAGACTTTACTGGGTTAAATGTAACATAGCAAAACATCTATTATGTGAAGACTTTTTGTTTAACGTTTTAAGTTTATGGAAAACTGTCAAGTGTACTCATTGAGGTGTTTAATAAAGTCAGAGTTTAATTTGACATTTGTTTGTTAACTTTTTCTTATTTACATTTAGCCTGTACCCGTACTCCAGCATTTAGACAGAAATAGTCCGAAGTAGCCGTGGTGTAGAATACCAACCGTTTAGCCATAAAGAAATAAAAAAAAAATTTGCTAAATAGAACTTTCCATGCTGATTTCAACCATATGAAGATTATTTGGCGCAAATAAAATCTAAAGCCAGTAAAAAAGGTTAAAGTTTAACTTTTATATTTATAATATCTCGGAAACTATTTGACCGATCACAAACGTATTAATGCTAATTTAAAGATAATTTAAATACCTTTTACGCCATTAAAAAAAGAAAAAAAAAAATATATATATATTTTGATTATTAGGTGTTTCTGGCTTAAAAATATAAATGAAAGGAAACAATTATGTCCACCAAGAGAAATATCGCCTAATTACCTTTATTTTGACGTCATTAGTTTTTTAATAGGTCATATTGTTCAAAAGATAATAATATTAAAAAAAATTTTAAAATTTAACTTTAACCATTGATATGTCCTTTATTTTTTTCTTTAGCCAAATAATTTTTGTAGGGTTGAAATTAGCACAAAAAGTTCTATTGAGTCACATTTTTGTTTTTGCATGGCTAGATTACTGATATTCTGTGGACGGAACGACCTGGGACTATATCTGATTAAATCCTGCAGTATGGGAACAGACTAACTGTCGGCAAATTTGTTGCAGGTTTGGATTAGCAAAGACACAAACCAAATTCGATCAAAACGGGTTGCATTGCATTTGGTTTGTGTCTTTGAAAATCCAAACCTGCAACCAATTTGCCGTTGGTCTGTTCCCGTACTGCAACATTTTATTTGGCGAAAGTTGAAAAGAAATAAGATATCAATGGTTAAAGTTAAATGTTTTGATTTTTTTAAATGACGTCAACATAAAGGTAATTAAGGGCATTTCACTTGGTGTGCATAATTTGTTTCTTTTCTTTATAGTTTTAAGCAAGAAATACCTAATAACCAAAAAATATATAAATATATTTTTTTTTAAATGGCGTAAATTGAATAAATTGAAGGCTTTTCTCATTAAAAAATTAAAAAATTTATTTCAGATTGCAGTCATAGATATATCAGGCACCTGTATGGCTGATGATTAATGTAAGTGCCATATTCAGTGGGAGAGCTTGTTATGGTTTACTATCATGATTGTTTTGAGGTAACCATACAAAATCAAGCAATCCATAGCATACTATGATTGGTTTTCCAAACACTCCCCAAATACAAACTGTGTGGCAGCTTTTTTTTACAGTTTCAGCTATTGGGAAAGGTAACGGAACTATTCCATTTGCCGCAGTTTCGTTAGGGTTGCCAGATTTTTTATGTACGAAATCAGTACGTTAGACGTTTTCATGCTAAAAAAATCAGTACTTTTCAGTACATTTTTATTCAATGCAAAATTAATAATGTAAGTAACAGATAATTCTTTAAAACGCAAGAGAACTTGTTTTTAACAACACTTTTGTATATAAATAAAATATAGTTCATAAAAAACCTGTCAAAATGTAAATATCCTGCCAAAATGTTGGACAGGGTGTTTAACCCTTCGTCTGACACATGAGTCCAGCCAGGCCTTTTCCATTTTAAAATTACAAAAAAGGGTACTTTAAATATAGCTAGAGGCTTGAAATTTCAGGTAGCTTACTAAAGTTTAGTGAATTACCAATCTGTAAAAAATCGTGTTGGTATCATATATATAAAGCTAGATATATAGAGATGTTGATTAATACATCACATTCGTAACACATAGGTCTGGCTGGACCCACATATATTCCTATGTAATTTTTACCTAAAATGAAGGAATGCAACCGTTTTTCAAAGTTTTATTTTGACTTTTTGAATTAGCATGGCAAGAGATGATTTGCATTTTTAACCGACTTCCAAAAAAGGAGGAGGTTATCAGTTCGTCGGAATATTTTTTTTTATGTATGTTACCGCATAACTTTGGACCACGTCAACCGATAATTCTTTTTGCATCGGAAAGGTAGTACCTCAGAGGTGGTCCCATACTAATCTGGTTAAGATCCGATCAGTGGATCATGAGCGCTTGGCCTGTAGATGTGCAAACTGGTTTAATTTTTTCGAAAGGTATTTGCTAATCAATGCCCTCAGATCCGCACCCTCCGTTCGATTTTCAAAACTGAGGTACCAAACTAAAGGGCTTAGGGTGTGGATGTTCAAGAAGGTTTTACTTTTTCGAAAAAAGTTGCCACCTGTTAAGAAATTGAGCTCAAATTAATTAATAAGTTAAATCAATTATTAAATATGGGTAGCAATCGAAATGGTTTTGAAAAGGTTTTATAACTTAACTATGTATAGGAGGGTTGCCACATGTAAAAAAAAAATTATTCAATTTTAATTATGTAAAG